ATGGGTCAGGACACCTCTGGTTATCAGTCACAGGCTAAAACTCTTCCCTGTATTGTTTAGCGTGAGAAAAGCTGTCCTCAATGGCGCGTGCCCGTGGGACATGTGCTTGACTGTTTTTTTTAAATGTTGAAAGGTCACCATGAACCATTTGCATTTCCCCCTTAGGTCTTGGCACTGGTGTGTAACTCGAGGCAGTGGCACAGCATTGTTTTGTGGGCTCCTCTTAATGTGGCACTAAATTTGTCGCACTCCAAGATTAAATACTTGGTCCCAACCTTGCGAGCACAGAGCGCTACCAGAATGAGCTAGGCTGTTGTTTGCAAGCTGATATTCACCCACTGAGTCCTACTTGCACGTGAACTCCATGGGCCAGGCTGACCACAGCTCCGGAGATCCGGTGCAGAACTAGACACAGAAGCTGCCTGTCCTCGTGGAGCTTCTGTTTTCCTGAGGGAGACAGAGAGGAGATAAACAAGCAAGATAACTTCAGATAGTGAAGAGATGTGACCGAGAATGGAAAGGGCCAGGGGATGGACTGGAGCGTTGGGACAGACCTCATGGTGGGAGGGGTGCTAGGACTGAGAACAGGAGTGTGAGCAGAGGGCCTAGCTGGGTAAAGAGGTCAGCGAGGAGTCTGACAAAAGTCTTGGGGTAGAAACCAGCTGGGGTGTTCAGTGAGCAAGAAGGAAACCAAGGGGCTGAAATGGAGTAAGCAAGGGATTGAATGGTAAGAAATGAAGTTCGAGAGGAGCCAGACCCCGGATCAGGTCAGCCTTGGAGTCTGGCACAGGGTTTAGACATATTCTAAGTCCATGGTCATTCGGCTTAAGGCCTTTGTGTGATGTTATAGCTGGAGTTATATCTTAAGGCCTCACATATAGTACTAGTGGAGGGGCTAATGGCTTCAGCCCAGACTCCCTCCTTTTACAGGCAAGGAGGCCTGCCAGGGGGTCAGTGTAGAAGAGTGTTCCCTTGAGAGAGTGAGTAGGGAGGGGCTGTCTCCATTCCGAATCTGGGCAGAGCACACAGTGGAACGGTGGGGACCAGGGTCAGGGAGAGAGAAGATCTCAGCCCAGCATTGGAACCCAGGAAGGCCAAGGCAGCAGGCTGAGAAACAAGAGAACGTGAATCAGCAAGCTGTGTGGGGAGCCAAGAGGGCAGAGTAAGCAGGCTGGACGTCAGGACAGGAGCCAGGGAGCCAGAGTCTGTTTTTCTATGTCTGCTGGGTAAACCAAGCAGTGGGAGGATTAAAGAGTGTTTTCCATTTTAGCCACAAATTACACTGCATTCAGCCCTGGGCTTCAGGCATGCCTGTAGACTTAGGTGCTGTGCCATGTGACTGCCTCATGCTCCTTTGCCAAGACTTCCCTCCTCGATTGAGGCCCTGTCCCTAAAAGTCTTTCTTTATCTCTAGAGTCTCTAGATGGCTCTGGGCATCAGTCATGGGCAAGTCCACAGGGCTGAGGGGCAGGAACTGGGCTCAGCCCAAGAGGCTGTGTGTGCTGGGGCTCTGGGGACCAAGACCAGTTGGGGGTGGGGGTGCTCAGGCTCAGTGAAAGGAGGGACATGTACTCAAAAGCTGGCCTTACTCTGGTCAGGCTATGAAGGGTTCCTGGAGAAGGAACTATTTTTTGGAGACAGAACTAAAAAGAGAGAATATGGTAAAGTTGGTGGGATCTCTGTTTCTAAAGTAGATGTTTTTGAGAGTTCTTGAGCACTCACTCAGCAGAGGGAACGTTGGGCAGCTATGTCTGAGGGCAGAGTGGCACCAAAATGGCAGAATGAGGCCACACAGGATGGTTGTGTAGCTCTGGAACAGGAAGAGTCGTCCCTGGGTCTGAGCTATAGGAAGTATTGCCCAAAGTGAATTGGGGTTCCTTTGCTACTTTGACAAGGAAACTTAACCTGATATGTTCCAGTCATGGCCAAGGTCCATGGTAGATGAAGCCATAATAATGATGGTAATGATATTAGGTAGCAAATACTGGGTTCTAGCTGTGTGCCAGGCACAGACCCATACAAATTCCCATGTGTTACCTCATTTCATCTTCACAGAAGGTGTCTTATACAGTTATCACTGTTCTCAGTCTCGTTTCTAGACTTACCCTATGACTTAGCAAGCCCATGACTTGGTAGTTACCTAAGTGAAATGAGAACCTATTCTCACACCGAAACCAGTACACCAGTACTTACAATGACTTTATTCATAATCATAAGAAGGTGGAAACAGTCCAAACACCTCTCTGCTGCTGATGGGTAGGTGGACCATGGCACGTCCATACAATGAAACACCATTCAGCAATGAAAAGGAGCAGACTCCTGGGAATGCCACAGGGATGAGTCTCAGCTGCCATGTGATGAGTGAAGGAAGTCAGGCCCAAAGGCTCCATACTCTCTAGTTTACTTATACGGCATTCTGGAAAAGGCAAAAATTAAAGGGACACATGGCAGGTCATGCCAGGAGCTGGAGATCGGGGAGATGGACTCCAAAGGGACCTGGGGTTTGGGTGGGGGGGGGGGGTATTGAGTGAATTGTAATTATTCCTTGTCCTCATTGTGCTTGTGGCTACACAGCAGTGTATGTTTATCACAACTCATGGAACTGCACACTAGTGAGGGGAATTTTGCTCAATGTAAATTATACCTTAATTAAAAATGAAAATACAACTCAGGGATGATTGGCCACTTTTCAAAACTGCTCCAGAAGGATTTTGTTTACATAGTATTCTCACCTGCTACACTGTCAGTGCTCCCATTTCCAAAGGGCACTTTGTTGGTTTCAAGTGAATATTGCGGCTGAGCTGTTTGCTATTTGGAGACTTGGAAGTAGGAGCCATAACCCGGAGACAAAGACCCAAGACAGCAGAGACAAAGAAACAAACACAGAAGACAGCTAGCCTTGTATCTTAACAATGGGGACATTAGCTAAGTGCTTCCTAATCCTTTGATACCTTTGACATAACCATAAAGCTGATGAGATCTTACTTTTGTCTGCTACCACCTTATAGCTTACAAAGCTCTCATGAGGCATTCACTCCTGATCTGCACAATGCCTCTGCCACTTAGGTGGGACAAGTGTTGTCATCTCCATTGTTAAAAGAGGGTGGAGGTGCTGAGAGTTCTTACCTCTGTGTGTGGGTGCATGCCGCTTGGCCCTCGCCACAGGCTGGCTAATCAATCTAAGATGCATGGTAATTTGGTGTGATATTACTATCTTACTTATCCTCACTTTTCCTCATCAAAATCTCAAATATCACTGGTGTGAGTAAAACTAAGAATTGACACTGAAGGAGAAAAGTAAAGGAATGCTAACTGCCTCTTAATGTTGGCCTAATTTAGAATATGAACGCGTCTTGTTCCAGTCCTAATAGGAGTAAGTTTACAAGCTCCCACCTGTTCAGAATGGTCTGACCGGTAGTTAGTTACCTGTTCTCACTGTGTGATGGAAAGTCTGCTGGGCTCGGTGTCTAGAGCCTGGATTATATCATGCCATCTATGAAATATGAGTGTCACTTACTTATGTCATCTGGGAATGACTGTGCTAATCACTGAAAAGCTTCTGCCCTAACCCTCATTTCCACCCCCATTTATTGAGCCAGCTCAGCCCCGTGCTCAGTTTCAATGTGCCGTGAAGAAGACACACACCATTCCTTTTTCAAGTTGCCCACAGCCTCACTCCTCAGATAACCCTCTCTCCCAAATGGCAAGTGCTTCCTGAAGCTTTTTGGTGTGGGTGTCCCTTCTGTGTCATCTGTGAGCCTCCCAGGGCAGTGATCATATCTACTTTCTTCTGTCTTCCCACCACGCCTGGCACTAGGGTCTGCACACGGTGGGCGCCCACTTGTCTTTAGAAAGAAGTCTTTTAGGCCAGGAGGGCCCTTAGCCTACAGTACAAGCTCTCACAGGCTAGATGGCACTGTTGCTAGAGTCAAAGCAGGTGTGTTCTGAAATAAGAGGGAGGAGGGAAGAGAAAATAGAGCAGGAGGCCCTGGACCGTTCACTTGCTGAGTTTGACTCAGACACATTGCAGAGACGCAGGGGGACTCCTGCCTCACCAGCATGGAGCGCTTTGCTGTTCCAGGGCATCTTCACCAAAGTGGCTTTAGAGGGTTTTCCCCACAACCTTGGTAGTAGGCAGGACACTGCACCAATTCTAATTTTATAGAACGGCAGCTTGGAGAAATCAAGTGCCTGGGCAGAAGTTAAGTGGCAGCTAATTGGTAGAGATGTCTTACATCCATACCTTGCTGGTGTCACCCTGCCAATGCGGGCCCCCAGAATTTGTCCAAGGTGGATGACTGTGGTCAGGAGAGTGGCCTGGGTGAACTGGACCCAGTCTGAGAAGGAAAGGTGGGGTTCGCAGACAGATTGACTGCAAGGCATCAGCCCAACCTCTGCCTCAAAACGTTTGCTTTTGTGACCGGGGGGCAGAACATAGTCCTTTCGGAGGAAACAGACGATCACACGTGCAGGTTCTTTGAAGAACGGCAGTTGTGGGTAATTTGTATACTTACTAGGATCTACAGTGAATGGTTGATGTTTTATTTAAAGAATGATCTATTTGGGGATGCTGCTCTTTGGGTCGGGTTCTGTCTGTCATCTGTCCGTTGCTTTATTACATTCACGTATTTCTCTTTAAAATGAAACAAAGTAAATAAAACCATCCTGTGCATTAGGCAGAATGGGTGTCATGACCGTGCCCATTTTACAGATGAAGAAATAGCGGGTCAGAAATGTCAAGAGTTGTGTCTGAGATCACACAGCTGATAGCTAAAATGTCAGCTCAGTTTGAGGCAAGGATCAAATCTTGTCCTCATTTCGCCTTGGTTTTTCCAGGCTATGTAGAGATCACAGAATTAGGAGAGCTGTTGTGGCTATCAGAGACTAGGAAAACACCTATCTAGAGTAATGAATGATTAAGGATATGCAAATTGGTGCAAATTTGAAAGCAAATCGATATATCTGTTTGTGCCTCTGATTGTACTCTCCTGTTTCCACAGGATGATGAAGATAAGCTGACCTGGAAAGATCGTTTCCCAGGTTACTTGATGAACTTCGCCTCCATCTTGTTCATGGTAATTTCCTTGATGGAACACCTGCCTGTAACTTATGCATGTAGATCCTGTAGAGCAAATGCTATGGGTGGGTTATTCTAGTATGCTGTGGGGATAACGAGGACTAGTAAAGATGAAGCCACAGTCCTGTCTAAACAGGGAAGATCTTACCTGATAGCGAGACCACTACCCGCCATCTGAAGAGGGAAAGGTGATTCCCTTGGACCTGGGATGGGGGTCAGTGGCCTTCAGTGGCTACAGAAGGGGGCTCTGTCTTCCCAGCCTTGAGCCCAGGTATTTGAAATTGGAACTTCCGGGGGTGGGTTGTGATGTGGTGCCTTCCGCATTGAGACAGACCAAGACCTTGGAAGAAGTAATCCAGGTAAGATGGCTGCAGAATTGTGGCAGCCTGTTGGGGCTGTGGGCTGGCTGGCTCTCCCTGATGGTTTGTGGAAGAGAACAGAGCCTGGAAACCACAGAAGACAGCCAGCTTTGGCTCCGCGAGCCTGATTCTTCAGCCTTGCCATGTTTACTTCCCTATGTTCTCCCTTAGAGTTTGGAAGAACCTTTTCAGAAGACCCAGATGCTATGTCAGCAAAGATCAAGAATAGGTCTGTGATTCAGGCTCAAGTCAGATCAGAAAAGTGGTAGCTGGTCATTCTTGGGAGCCAGGATGTGAGTGGAGCAAGAAGACCTCAGGAAGGTGAAGCTCAGAAGGGCTCAGCTCAGGTCACTGAGACACCTGCCCCCCCTTTCTATGTACATTCCTTCTAGTGTTCAAGACTGGAACTTCCATTTTACAAAGGAGAGTTGGGTCCTTAGAGCATTTCTAAGCATTTCGAAGCATTAGTTGTGGGGTTGGGGAGGGATTGCTTATTCTGGGACTGAAATCATAATTATTTTCTGGTGACTCTGGCAACTCTGGCCCTGATCTGAGATTATTATTGCCATTATTATGGTCACTGTGATCAATGGGGACAGGAGCCATGTCTTAATCTCAGAAATTGAAAAATAGAAGGGATCCTAGGCACCATCTATTCCTGCTCCTCATTTCACAGAGCAGTACAGAGATGATGTACAGATCTTCTGAAGTACAGAGGCGATGGGTGCCTTGCCAAGACTTAGAAGTCTGCATCTGTTACCTTAACAAGAGCAAGGCATATAGAATTTATTCAAGAATATGTGGCAAGTTGCAGGGTGTTACACAGGAATGATACAAAGTTTAGTTTAGCAGTTCAGAGCCTCCCACAATATGCATATTGTCATCACCAAATTTATTCATTCATTCAAGAAATGTTTAACGGGGCAGGTGGGGGAGGCACCTGGCTGGCTCAGTTGGTGGAGTGTGCGACTCTTGATCTTGGGGTTGTGAGTTCGAGCCCCACGTTGGGTGCAGAGATTACTTAAAGTAAAATCTTTATAAAACACTATTAAAATATATTTAATGGGTGCCATCTATGTGCTTGACACTGTTCTTAGGCACTGGGGATAGAGTAGAAAATAAAATAATCCCTCCTTTAAGGAGTTTACAGATGGCAAATACATACATAAATAAGAAAATTGATAAGTAAAATAGACTTCTATCTCCAGTAGTGGTAGGTTAGGATATTAGTAGCACCCCATCTTGCTGAAAATAACAAAAAATACTGGATGAATGTATTTTTTCATTCTTCCTAAAGGCTTGGGGGGCTGATAGGTTAGTAATGAATACTAGGCGATTCCTTTGTTTTTTATTTTTTAATGTTTATTTATTTATTTATTTATTTATTTATTTATTTTGAGAGAGAGAGCGAGTGTGTGAGCAGGGGAGGGGCAGAGAGATATTGAGACACAGAATCTGAAGCAGGCTCTAGGCCCTGAGCTGTCAGCACAGAGCCCGATGCGGGGCTTGAACTTGTGAACCATGAGATCATGACCTGAACCAGTTGGACGCCTAACTGACTGAGCCAGCCAGGCACCCCAATACCAGGCTATTCCTAATATGGATCCATCTAGGGGAAACTGAGAACCAAGAAACAAATACCTGGGCATTAATACTGCTTTTACTTTGAGGACATTTTCCCATGTAGACAAACTTGGGCTTTGGTTTTGGTGGTTTTATGGGGCGAGGAGGATAGAAACCAGAGGATATGGCTCACTCAAAGTGGGGATGCTAACAAGAAGTTCTCACCAAGTTAAACTGGGAACTCCACAAGGAACCACACTCTCAGAATAAATGTGAAATAGAACTAAACCCACTCCCTCCCGACTCGTGAGACTGTAGAGAACACTGCTCTGGTTCTAAGTAGAACAGGGAGAAAAGAGGAACAAAACCTTGTCTCTGAGAAGTGGTCATGGATGATCCCCATCGTGGACTTACAGCATAGTTTGTCACTTGAGAGACCCAGGGAACCTCGGGCTGTAAACTTGGTCGAGGACAGGCAGCCCTTCCAGGTGCCTGGCAGAAGCCAACACAGATTCTCTGTAGGAAGGCATATTTACACCAGTCCTCAAAAAATCCCCCAGAAGAATTTTTCCAAGACCAAAAAGAGAACACAGTTAAAAACAATTAATTGCACAAGAGGCTGAAGCACTCTGAAAGAGAACCAGTGGGGATAGACAGAAAAGACTAAAGGTCACAGGTTAAGACAGCCAGTTTGAAAATATCTGCCAAAAATAAGAAACTATTTTAAAAATGACCTAAAGATTTGAAAAGCAGCCAATAATCTTCTAGAAATGAATATATATTGATAAATATGAATATATAATATTTAATAATGAACATATGTGATATGAATATGAACAGGAGTATGTAAATGTACATAAACATAATATTACATATGTACACCATGGATGGGATTAACAAGAAATTAGACATAGCTGAAGAGATAATTTGTGAACTACAGCACAGGTTAGAAAAAATTATCCATAATGCAGCATAGGGAGACAAAAGATTGAGAATTCAAAAGAGAAATTAATAGATTTGGAAACAGACTGAGAAAATTTAACATGGATTTAATTGCACTACTGCAAAAGGAGCAAGAATAGTAATGAACAAGATACACTAACCGATGGTCACCTAATTGGCTAATTCTGCTAACAGAATTCCAATTTGGAGATTGAAGAATCCCAGTGAGGGGCACCTGGGTGGCTCAGTCAGTTAAGTATCTGACTTCAGCTCAGGTCTTGATCTCACGGTTTGTGAGTTCGAGCCTCACATTGGGCTCTGTGCTGACAGCTCCGAGCCTGGAGCCTGCTTTGGATTCTGTGTCTCCTTCTCTCTCTGCCCCTCCCCCACTTGTGTGTGCGCGCGCGCGCGCACGTGCGCGCGCTCTCTCTCTCTCTCTCTCTCTGTCTCTCTGTCTCTCTCTCCAAAATAAATAAATAAATAAATAAATGAAGAATCCCAGTGAAATTTAAGCAGAAAAAATAAAAAGAAATCTACGTTTACATTCATCATAATGAAATCATAGAATATATAAGACACAAGAAAAATCTCAAATATGTTCAGAAACCAAGATTACCTTCAATGAAGAGACTGTCCAATTAGCCATTGATTTCACATAGCAGTTGGAAGTCAGAATATACTGACATGCTGTCTTCCTGTGCTGAAAAGAAAACACTTGATAATCCAGAATTCAATACCCAGGAGAAATACAATATAGAAGTATTAGGATAAAGATATTTATAGTGAAACAAAAACTGAGGTTTGCCACCATCTGAATCTTTCACTAAAGGTAATCCTAAGAATGTACTTCAGATGTGATCCCATATGGAGAATTATAGTTTTAAGAAGTAAAGAACAAAGTGGTAAATATGTGGGAAAGCCTATGCGTACCTTGGCTGTGAAAACAATAATGATGGTGTCTCATAGGGTTAAAAATAAAGTAGAATTGGGGTGCCTGGGTGGCTCAGTGAGTTAAGCGTCTGCCTTCAGCTCAGGTCATGATCTCATGGTTCATGAGTTCGAGCCCCACATTAGGCTCTGTGATGAAAGCTCAGAGCCTGGAGCCTGCTTCAGATTCTGTGTCTCCCTCTGTCTGCTCCTCCCCAGCTTGCACTCTGTCTTTCTGTCTTTCTGAAAGATAAATAAACATTAAAATAAAAGTAAATAAGGTAGAATTACAGTGTACACAGTAATAATAGCATATAAGTTGGGTGGCCATTAATGGAACCATAACAGTGTTAGGTCTTTTTATTTTCTCCCTGACAATTTATATGGAAGGACAAAGGCTAAGAATATACCAAATGAACACTTATTATAAAACAGTAATAAATACGATGGTGTGGCATTGTTGCCAGGATATAATTAGACCAGTGGAAAAAACAGAAAGCCAAGAATCCGAGCCATGCAAGTGGCACTGCTTATACTTGGAGAAAAGGTGAATCCAAAAGAATTTCATCATAGGATGCAAAACAGAGGGAAGTCCACGATGACTTTAAGGTTCTTATCCTGAGCAATCAAAAAAGCTGGAGTTATCCCTTACTGGGATAGGGAGGAATTCTGGAGTTGCCTTCATAATGGATATAAATTTGCAGTTCAGGGGACTCCTAATCAGATGGTTACTGGTGGTATTTACAGCCATGAAATTGTAGGAGATTACCAGGAGGCTGAGGGTCAATAGAGGAAAGTCCTAGGGTTGAGTCCCAAGACACTGCCATGTTCAAACTTGGGAGCATGAGGAGGATCCAAAAGACAAGATTAAAAGTAACAGCCAAAGGGTTGTAGGGAGTTGTGGAAACCAAGAAAGTATTGCAAGGGGAGGGCAATCAATTATGTCATATGCCAGTGATCAGTCAGGCAAGGAGAGCACGGAAAATAGAAGCTTGTCTACTGTCTGAGCGAGGAACTGGTATCATCAGCATCACTGTCAACAACAAACAGGTTACCTCACCACCACGGACAAACGAAGGCATACCTTTGTTTTATTGTGCTTTAGTGCGCTTTGCAGGTGTTACATTTTTTATAGTTGAAGGTTTGTGGCAGCCTGCTTTGAACAAATCTCTTGGCACCATTTTCCCAAAGCGTTTGTTCACTTCTG